GTGTTAGACAGGATTCTCTAGAGAGATAAAACCAAATTGCTGATAATTTAATATATTTATTTATAAAGATAATTAGATATATAACAAGAAATAAATTGTTAAATCATATAGATAAATATATAATACAAGAAATGAACAATTAAATTATAGAGCAATACAAATGGCTCAGTGCAACTCACACCCGTGAGAGAGAGTTGTGAGACACTAGCAGCCCTTCAAGTCTAGTCTGCCTCCAGGTCTTCCTCTACTTATAGAGAGAGCTAGGCTATCTCAGCACAGCAGTCAATCACAAGGCAGGTCACCAACTGTCAGCCAGGTCACCAACCGCCCGTCCCCAGCTCCAGAGATGTCTTAAAGGGACCTCAACTTATACCGACACAGTTCACAGGGTAGGCATCCCACAGGTAGTGTAGCCTGTAGATTGAGGCACAGAACAAGCAAGGCAGCCGCACACTGGTCTGATGATCAAAGTGCGAGAGACAAGAAAGGCGAGGCTCACCGAGCCATTTAACTCTCTGCCCTTCAGTTAATCCCACTTGTGTTTATCGGCCAGGCTGGCACAAAAAAAACTATCTCAAAGACCAATACAAGTACTAAGATAAATGAAAATCAGATAAAGGGGGAAAACTCTGATGAACGTTTTTGTCAGTAGCTGCTGTCTGGGGCAGATGACTACTATGAATTTCTTTCTATGTTTGTCTCTAAAGGAGAGAACTGAGGAAGAGGGCTGGGAAGAAACTGGAATCTCTGGACTTAGCCAGGTGAGTCAGTGATGCTAGACAGAACAACAGGGATCCCCAGGGAACATCGCTTCAGCTTCAGCCTGGAACTCATTTAGAAGAAAGGGGTGTGAACTCTCATCTATAAAATCTTTTATCAGAAAGTAAAGGAAGAATAATGCTCAAAGGATAGGGCCATGTGGCTACGGGACTGAGCAAACACAACACAGACTTGCCATGAACAGTATCAGGAGACACATCGGGTCTACTACTAGGACAGTCTTTTCAAAAAGGCAAAAGACTGTAGACCTCAACCCAGTATCAGGAAAGGGGAAAAGGGTATTTAGGCTGCTGCGTGGAAGCACAGGACAACAATGCCAAGAATAGGCCTGACAGCAGCTTTCCCCAAGTTTTCTGACCTTAAGGCACAGAGAAATCAGGAACGGATTCAGGGTGCCTGCTGGGTGAAAGAACGGTATGGGGTCAGTGTCTGACCTCCTCTGGCTTCATAAGGGGGAAGCAGAATCGGGTTCAACATCGCCCAAGGAGGCAGAGGTCAGACATGCCTCCACACGTCAACCCGCTTTCCCACTTGTGCCACCAACTATCCCGCCAAGGCACTCTCTCCTCCGTTGGGCTTGAAAATTCATCTCAGTGGCCACACAGCCCTCACAGGCAATACTCGCCATGGGAGGAGCTGATTAGAGGAATCCCAGGTTACAATTCACGATCAGCAATGCAGGATACGGCTTTCCTGTCAGGAGCACCTCTCCACACCGCGGGCACAGGCACGCACCGCTCTGGTACTTGGCATCTCAGCCACATCACAGGGGGATTGTGATATTTATGTTTTAAAGATTTATACATTGTGAAGAAAAGTGGGTATTTTGAAACACTTCATTGTGCTCATGAGAAACCTACAGTAGACCAAAAGGCATCTGTTCAAATAGAATGAGGGAACGCACCAAGGTTTCAAAGCAGGAAAGGTATGTGTTAGGATTACGTACTTTCACCATACTTCCTCACTCTGCACACTGAGCAAATAACCCAAGAAGCTGGACTGCATAAAGCAGATCGGCGGAGGAATCGTTAACAACCTGAGACACACAGATGGAACAAGCTTTCTGTCTGAGAGTGAAGTGGACTTGAAGCACTGACATGAAACCAAAGGCCACTCAACAAGAGGGATGATATTTCAACACAAGAAAACAAGAATCCTCACAACTAGACCAGTAAGCATCCTCATGACAGACAAAAAACCTGCTATCTAGAATTTCATTTTATGTGATTCACAATCAACACTCATGGAAACGGAGGTCAGGATACCAAACAACATATTACACTAGACATACATGTAAGGGGGTACCCCCTCAAACAGGAATTCCACCCAAAGCTATGTATTTAGATTTTTTAACATAACAACCAAGAGCTGTAAGAGCCCGCAATAAAATGATGGGCTTTGCTTATTGAAAAAAACAAAAAAACAAAAACGAAAGGAAGAGAAATCCTTGATTTACCAACATCAGAAAGCTATTACGCGTGGGAACTTGTATATACAGCACATGAATGTGTGTAAGAGATTAAGCGTGATGCTCTAGCAGTTGTGGGACTCCTGTAAGGAAAACAGTGCTTCCTTTTATTTCCGTTTGTCGTCCGAAGGGTGATTCTCTCTGGTCTCCACAGCCTTGCTCAGGGGCCTATGCTTTCCGATTAGCAGACAGATAGATGAATCTGGGGCAGGACAAACCCTTGCTGTGTGTCTCTTACTGACGGTAACTCTAAAAGGAAAGTGATTTCAAGGTATTGCAACAGTCACTATGTTTTGGGTCATTAACTAACTGCTTTTCCCAGGTTTTTCTAAGGTCAAAGTAAATAAACAAATAAAAACAAAAACAACCTTATCGCCTTCAAACTACTCTCTATTACACTTAACACATTAGTCAAATCTACAATTCTATTCTTGGAAACATTTTTCAAACTCATCTGTTTGGATGGCTGACAGCACCTCCCTTGCTTTTTCTTCACCTCCTCTGCATCATCAAATTGCTGTGCTTTCATGTTCCTCTTCATTTATGAAAACACAAGGAAGTCTCACAAAGTGAGGTCAGGAGATAAGGTTCACAGGGCAAGAGAGGCATGCTGCTTTTTGCCAAAAACTGGTGCAAAGAGAGGACTGCGTGAGCAGGTGCATTGCCATGGTATCAAAAGCAGTCCCTGTCTGCCACAAATCAGGCCTTCTTTGTCACACACTGTTATGCGATCTTTTCAGAACCTCTAAACAGAAAGCCTGATTAACAGTCTGAGCTGGTGGGATGAACGCCAAACGCCCCTCACATCACAAAATCAAATGAATATCATCTTGATCTTTGATTTCATTTCATGAGCTTTGGGGGGAGCAATGTGATGATGGCATCGTCTACTGGCCTGATGACCTTTCTAATTCCCAAAACTTCTGTCAAAATTCGCTGAACTGAGCTCCAAGATAGTACAGATAACTTCCCCATCTCTTCAATGGTCTGTTGTCAGTCTTCAAGTACAAGTGCACGAATTTTGCCAACATTTTTGTCCATTCTGGAAGTTGACAGGTGTCCAGAATAAGGTTTGTCATCGACTGACATCTCACCTTTTCTGAAAAGAGAAAAACACTCATACACTGAGTTTTCCCGTAGCACTCTCCTTGTAAGCTGTGTTCAACATCACAACAGTTTCTGTGGCACTTTTCTGGAGCAGGAAACAAAATTTCACAGCCACACACTGTTCTCTTAAATCAGCCATCACAAAAAACGAGGCTTGAGTGAAACTGGTTTTACGAAACCCTCACTGTGACCAGAGAGAACCTTCCCAGGCAACACCATTGGGAGCACTAGCTCGGAGGGAGTTGCTAGATGCTCACCTAGCGGGGAAAATGCGTACTATGAAAACTCCACTCCCCACCAGAAGAATTCACTTCAGAGGACAGCACCGAAGCTACACCTCAGGGAGAGGGCATGTCTGATCGGAGCACACAGGACCAAATGAAGGGGGAGGGGGAGAGTGGAGCACATCCTGGCCACCAAAACCTGAGGACGAGATTCCCACTCAGAGAAGCCAATGCACAGAGAGGACCATAAGGCCTGGCCCACTAGCAACACACGACATGACGTCCCTCACTGGCCCATAGCTCTACGGGGGACAACACTGGAGACACAGTGCGGAATTGTGCCTGATCTGACCCCACCACACCAAGGCAAAACACTAAGGACGTGCAACAGAAAAGCAAGGGGAGCAGAGCAGAGCAGAGCAATCAAGTCCCTAGGGAATACCAAAAATAGCCTTTGAGGCCAGGGTGTGGCACCCCATCAGCCTTGACTGGAAAGCACTCCTAAAGGTCAACAAACAGACTTTGAACTATTGATAGGCTTTACTTTTGTTGTTATTGTTGTTGTTTTGTTTTCTTTTGTTGCAAGGTTTTCCTGTCTTGTTTTTGTGCATATTATTATCTCTGCAGGTCTATCTAGATAAGATTGGCGGGATAAACAATCTGGAGGAGAAATCAACAGAACCAATGGTTGGGGGTGGGTGGG